CTGGGCTTACATCCATGGTCTCTTAGTTTCTGCAGTACCTCTATCCAAGACCTTCTGGCTTTCATGGTTTCCATAGAGAAATCCGGTGTAAGTCTGAGAGGTTTACCTTTATAAGTTATTTGACCTTTTTCCTTTGCTGCTCTTAATATTCTTTCTTTAATCTGAATGTTTTGTGTTTTGATTATTATATGGCGAGGGGATGTTTTTTTTTGATCCCGTGTATTCGGTGTTCTGTATGCATCTTGAACCTTCATAGGAATATTGTTAATATTGTTTTTTAGGTTGGGAAAGTTTTCTTCTATAATTTTGTTGAGTATATTTTCTGGGCCTTTGATCCGCATTTCTTCTCCTTCTTCTACCCCTATTATTCTTAGGTTTGGTCTTTTTATTGTGTCTCAGATTTCTTGAATGTTTTGTGATGAGAATTTGTTGGATTTGCTGTTTTCTTTGATCAAAGCGTTTATTTTCTCTATGGTGTCTTCAGAATCTGAGATTCATTCTTCTATCTCTTGTATTCTATTGGTTATGCTTGTTTCTGTAGTCTCTGTTCGTTTACCCAGATTTTCCATAGCCAGCTGGCCCTCGGTTTGTGTTTTCTTCATTGCTTCCATTTCAGTTTTCAATTCTTGAACTATTTCCATTACCTGTTTGACTGTTTTTTTCTTGGTTTCCCAGGGTATTATTTACGGATTTACTCATTTCTTCAAACTCTTTGTTATATTTCTCCTCCATTTCTTTAAGGGAGTTATTCATCCCCTGCTTAAGGGACTCTATCGCTTTCATAATGGCACTTTTTCCCACTTCTTCTGGATTAAGGTGTTCAAGTCCTTCTGTTGTAAGATCTCTGGTGTCTGGTGTTTTCATGTTGTTTTTCAGATTGTTGGAGGAATTCTTGCCTTGGCGCCTGCCCATCTCTTCCTTCAGATGCTCTCCAATGGATCTTCTGGTACAGGGTCAGGTTCCCTTGTTGGCCAGGGACCTCACCCTCTGATGGATCTTCTGCTACAGGATCAGTGCCCCTTGTTGGCCAGGAATCTTGCTGACAAAAGGCCTACCTTGCTGCAGGCAGGCTATTGTAACACAGGAACTCCCTCCTGCCGGGTTGCACTTACCACCCTGTCCCAGCGCCTAAACAGGCTGAGTTGGGGGATTTTATGGCCCCGAGGAAGGGAGGAAGAAGGGAAGGGGTTCCTGGGTGAAAGCTGGGATGGAATAGGAGAAGAGAGGTTGTAGCAGGGTGGAGCAGCCCCTGCAGAATGACCAGGGAGTTAGGGGGGTTGGGTAATGTCTGTGCTCCATTGCCGGGCTTCTGCCGCGGGTCAGGAGCACACTTACCCCTCTGATGGATCTTCTGCTACAAGATCAGTGCCCCTTCTTAACACTGCTTTCATAGTGTCCCATAGGTTTGGATGTGTTGTGCCTTCATTTTCGGTTTTTCAAAAATTATAAAATTGTGTATAAAACCAATTTAGTGGACAGCAAACGAAAATTAAATAGAAGGAAAAACAAACATTTATGGCAATTATTGAGTGTAAATACTGACTTAACAATTGTTGAGCCAATTTTCCTGGGGAGATGTGAGCTCTCCTCCTCTCTAGATGGGGAACTGATGACAGAGTAAAGTAGTAATCCTACCAAAGTCCAGTTAGGTGAGCCATTGAGTTATAATACTGTAGGAGGAGAAATTTCTCAAAGACAACTCTGTCATTAAAAAGCCACCCCTGCATGGTTGATAGCTCCCCCAAACTGGACACTGGAGCACATTGCACACCTGCAGGCAGCTCAGCAGCTCAGTGTCCTCTGCAGGTTGCTGTTTTTCTAAAGTGATCTGTGCCTTTCCAGGTAGCTCTGCTGGTCTGAGTAGTGGCTTCTGGGCAGCTTGGGCTGTCTAACAGTGTCATTCAGCCTTTCGTAGTGTTGGTGTACACTTTGGGAAGGAGAGGCTCTAGTGAATATTGTCAGTTTGAGAGACTTTCTGAAGCTATTTTGAGTTGTTTATTTACTTCCTGAGCTTAAGGAGCTTCCCTGCAGAGTGGAAATTCTGCCTTCCTGCTGTACACCCTGCTGCTGTTTTACCTCCTGGTAAACATCCTTTGTCTTAATAAGCTTCCCTCCAAGATGGACATTTTTGGTCTTGGAAGAACCTGCTATGCAACAGTGGCATTTGTTTTTTAGTGCATCATATGTAGCATTGTTTTTGGTTTGTAGTCAGAATTGTTTTTTTTTATCATGATAGAATAAAGCTTTGCATGTGTTTACTATTGAGTGTCGGAATGAATGGAATGATTTTTAAGTTTGATTTAGTTTGATTATTGAAATTTTAGGGATGAACATATAAGGAAGATATATATATATATATATCAGCAAAGTTTATGAGTTTATGAGTACATTGAACATAAACTAAGTATTTATTTACACTTAGAAAAATATTTATCATGGTAATTTTCAAAAGTAATAAAGGCTAAGCTATGCATCACTTAAAATACATTTTATTATAAATATAGAAATAAATATAAAATTTGCTCTGGAGTGATATTTTGTGTATGTTTTAACAAATAAAGCTGCCAGAAGATCAGAGTGCAGATCTAAGCCACTAAAGGCCAGGAAGTGGTGTCACACACCTTTAATCTCAGTACTTGGGAGACAGGGGCATAGGTATCTCTGTTAGGTCAAGGCTATATTGAGCTACACAAGATTTAACCTGTCTAAAAGGGAAACAGAGCTCACACAAAGGTGATCCCAGCACTTGCGATCACATATTTTAATCCCAGCACTAGGGAGGTGGATATGGGAGTGATATGGCTGGATAGAGAGAGGAATATAAGGCAGAAGGAGACAGGAGTGCATTCCAGTCTGAGGTTTGGTGGAGACAGATGCAGTTTAGAGATGCAGTCTGAGGACAGTATTGCCCCTTCAGTCTGAGCATTGTTAGAAGTAAAATAACCCTCTAGTGGCTGACCACTTTGCTTCTCTGATCTTCAGCATTAATCCTTATGAATCTGGGTTTTATTATTAAGACCAATTAGAATTTGTGCTACAGCGCTCAAGTGGCAAATTTTAATTTTTTGAATTATTTTATGTGTGTAGATGTTTTGCCTAGATTTATGTTTATGCACCACTTGTGTGCCTTCTACCTCTGGAGTTTCGAAGAGGGCATCCAGTCCTTTGGAACTGCAGTTATGGGCAGTCATGAGTCCCTAGTGTGTGTGCTGGGAACAAAACTTGAGTCCTCTGCGAAAGCATCAAGTGCTCTTAATTGATGAACCATCTTGTCATCTCCTCAAATGCCAAATCTCAAAAAAAAAAAATTGCCAATAAGTATTAAGATGAGAAAAAAGTCTGATCTGCTTGTTACCATTGTGTCTTGTGAATTATTCAGGCTGATCTTCAGTCTTTGCATTAGACTTCAGGATAAACATTTCTTCTTCAGTGACTTTCTCTGAGAGAAGTAATCTGTGTATTATGAGTTATATTATTCATATTGAAGTAAAAGGAACAGTATTTGGAGGAGTATCAAAATGGAAATTCTTGTGATTTACAACAGGCAAAATTCAGAAATCTTAGTTATCATCACAGCCATTCTTTTAAGCATTTAAAAATTTTAGCAAATAAATGTGTGTAGCTGAATGATAACTACAGTGCTTAACATATACAAAGCCCTGGATTGCATTCCCTGCACCAGCCAAAACAAAAACAAAATCACCCATAAAACCGATTTTGACTTTTTCTAATTCCCATGTAGATTAGATCTATGTATGTCCCTTTTAGGGTCCTCATTGCTGTCTAGGTTCTCTGGGATTGTGATTTGTAGGCTAGTTTTCTTTGCTTTATGTTTAAAAACCACTTATGAGTGAGTACATGTGATAATTGTCTTTCTGGGTTACCTCACTCAAAGAATGTTTTCTAGCTCCATCCATTTGCCTGGGAAGCTGAAGCAGCTGCTTAGCAGTTAAGAGCTCTTGCTGTTCTTAAAAAAGACCTGAGTTCAGTTCCTACCACCTACATTGGGCAGCTCCTAACTGCCTGGAACTCCAGTTCCAGGGGATATATGCTGTTTTTTTGACCTCCGTGAGCACCTGAACACCTGGGGTTCACATACATAAAATCAAGGCATATGTACACTTATAAATGAATAAAATAATTCTTTAAAGGGTATTAGAAAACAGAACTGATTTTTTAAATTGTTCTTATTAAGCTATACATTTTTCCCACTATCCTTTTTTCTTCTCTCCCCTTCTACCCTGTCCCTGCCTACTATGCTCCCAGTTTACTCAAGAGATCTTGTCTTTCTCTTCTTCGTAAGTGGATCCATATATATCTTTCTCTTAGGGTCCACTTTGTTGTCTAGGTTCTCTGGGGTTGTGAATTGTAGATTGGTTTTTCATTACTTTATGTCTAATGTCCATTTATGAATGAATACAAACTATATTTGTCTTTCTGGTTCTGGGTTACCTCACTCCGTATTTTTTTTTTCTAATTCCATCCATTTGCCTGCAAATTTTAGGATGTCATTATTTCTCATCGCTGAGTAGTATTACCACTTTTTCCTTATCCATTTTTCGGTTGAGGGGTATCTAGGTTCTTTCCAATTCCTGGCTATTACATATAATGCTACTATGAACACAGTTGTACAAATGTCCTTGTGGTATGATTGAACGTCCTTTGGGTATCTGCCCAAAAGTGGTGTTGCTGGGTCTTGAGGTAGATTGAGTCCTAATTTTCTGAGAAACCGCCATACTGATTTCTAAAGTGGTTGTACAAGTTTGCCCTCCCACAAGCGTTGGAGGAGTGTTCCCTTTACCCCACATCCTCTCCAGCATAAGCTGTCATCAGTGGTTTTGATCTTGGCAATTCTGACAGGTGTTAGATGGTATGTCAGAGTTGTTTTGCAAAAGTAAAACAATTTTTTTTATCATGGGAAAAAGTGTTTATTTTGAAATTATTTTAGTTTAGAAATACAAAACCTCTTGGGGAGGGGAAAAAAAGAAAAACACAAAGTATACAGGCAACTTTTTACTTCATAAGCTTCTCACACCCTCATTGCTCCTAGTTCCAGCGAAGCGGAAGCACTCAGCCACCCACAATAATGTTATTAATAGGGATATGGATCAGTTTCACAAAGAAGCCAATGAATCCCATAATAGCAAATCCTATGGCTGTGGCCATGGCAATCTTCTGGAATTCTTTTCTGTCGGGCTTGGTGCATCTTTTAACCAGCCAAATTGAGTCCTTTACAAACTGCCGACTTGGCTCAACAAACTGTATTACCTGATCCATGGCTGATTGCCGGACAGAGGCTTGAGGAGGATAAGACACGTAGCTTTGGAGAGGACTGAGCCCAACGGAACCGGAAGCTGAAAGTAAAACAATTTAAGGATTAGACAAATCTAGTTTTAGATACCAAAACAGAAATTGTATTAAATATATTTATTTTGCAAAGTAACTTTTAACTGTTCTTTTTTAAAGTAACCAAACATTTTTACTGTTATAAAACTCAAGAAATTTGTGGTGGATAATTTGGATTTTCAGTTTCAACTTTCCTAGATATTACTATATACATACTGTAAAAATATAGAGTTACATTGAGTGCCTTTTACGTGCTTAAGCAGAAGATGCACGATTTAATGCATACTACATTTCCTATTCATACAAATGTATGTATAGGAAATTTTTTCTTAAGAAAACTCATTATGTTCAAAGCTGCTACATCAAACACTGACACATGAAATTCTTATGTCTGAATATTATGTATCAGTGGAATTTACCTCTTCTCATATGTTCTTATTCATCATTTCCTGTTTATTTTATGCTTGAGGAAAAATGGAAAATGTTGAAATTTTAATTTCTTGAGTTATAGTTTATTTATAAATTATTTTGAAATAGGATCTTATATATACAGGGCCAGACTTAATTTTACTGTGTGACTCAGACTGGTCTTTCATCCTTAATACTTTTGTCTTAGCCTCTTGCATGTTTGTAGTGGCTGTATTTTATATTTTCAGATGTTTTAGCATTGTTTCCTTATACTACTATGTAGGCTTGAACCTAGGGCCCTGTGGATGTTAGAGACTGACTTGTGGATGTTATAACTGTTGAGCTGTATCAGCAGCCACAAATATAGTTCTCAATGAGCCTTTAGCTTACTGCTTCCTTAAATAGTGCACTTTTTTGTGATAGGGTTTTGCTGTAAGTCTGGGCTAGCCTTTAATTGGTATGGGAGGTACTTCTGTCTGTGTGTTGCTTTTATTAGATAATGAATAAAGAAACTGCTTTGGCAGTTGAGAGGACAGAACTTAGGTAGGTGGGGAAAACTGGACTGAATACTGGGAGAAGGAAGGGAGACGCCATAGAGCCACTGCCAGAAATAGATGTGCTGAAACTTTGCTGGTAGGCCACGACCTCGTGGTGATATACAGATTATTAGAAATGAGTTAAGATGTTAGAGTTAGCCAATAAGAAATTAGAGCTAATAGGCCAAGCAGTGTTTTAATTAATATGGTTTCTGTGTGATTATTTTGGGGCTGTGCATCCGGGAACCAACGAGTGTCCTCTTTACCACAAAGAATTTGTGATCCTCCTGTCTCAGCCTTCTCAGGGTGTTATTACAGGTATGTTCTACCACCCCTAGCTGAAATAATGGTTGTAATTGGGTTGCTCAGATGAGTAATGTTAGATCAAGTAACACTCTTCATTATTTATTTAGGCTGGCCTCTAGCCTGTTACATAGTCTGAATATTACATTGTACTTCTGATCCTCCTGCTTTTCTCTCATGAGTGCTGGAGTTATGATTTTGTGTCATCTTGCCCAGTTTGTGCAGTGTAGGGACAGAATCCAGGCCTTAGTGCATGCCAGACAAGCACTTTATTGACTGAGTTATATCCTCAGCTCCATAATTAAAGTTTTTATCCTGTGAAATGACTTTTCCAAAGCACTCTGGTGTACATTGATGTGGAGGTAGTGTTGCTCTGACTTTCCTAAAGCATAGTTACACATGTGTCTTGATGCTGCTTTGTCTTTTATTTCCTGACATATTACTGCGATTGGGCATGTGATGCTTGGCTGATGGTGACTGTAAATTTCTGTTAATATTCTCGTCCTAATTTCATTGGATTGTTTGTCTTATAAACTGTTGGGAAGTGCTGTTCACTTAGAGGGTTATTCTCTTCCTTCCTCTATTTTAGAATTGTGGCACCTTGGTTTATGCTTATTTGAATGAGTTTAAAGATAGTTTTATCATATTGGATGATATTTTTAGGGCAGTTCATGAGTATAAAACCTGTCCTCTGAGACACTTAATTTTACTGAGAAATTATTCAGAATGATAGAATAATATTGGCACAAATATAGGCAAACACAGCAAAGATAGTGCCCAGGAACAAATGTATTTTGCGATCTTCAAGTTTGATGAAGGCACATCTCAACTGGTTAAAAGAAAATTGTAGGTGAAGACTGCTTGTTTGTTTTCCAGCCACACAGACATCAATAATCACACAGAAACTATAGTAATTACGACACTGTTTGGCCAGTACCTTATGCATATTTCTAGCTAACTCTTACATCTTAAATTAACCCATTTCTATTAATCTGTGAATTGCCATGAGGCTGTGGCCTACTGGTAAGGTTCTGGCTGGTGCCTGACGCTTTCTCCCTCAGCAGCTACATAGCGTCTCCTTGACTTCTTCTACTCTCTCTATATATATTTGTTCAGATTTCCCTCCTGGCTTTATTCTATTAAGCCATTGGCCAAAACAGCTTCTTTATTAATCAATGGTAATAAAACATATCCACAGCATATTGAGAAGAATCCCATATCATCTCCCTTTTTCTGTCTAAATAAAAAGGAAGGTTTTAACTTTAACAAAATAAAATTACAATACAAAATAGTTACTGAGCAAGAATTACAGTTTCAGTATTTCTTTTGAGTCTAAAGTTTCATATTTAACTTATCCTTTGTCATAACTAAGCAAAATTGTAACTGTCTGTCCTCAACTCCACCAGAGACACCAGAAGGATATTACATTACCTAAGTAAACAGGAAGCGCATTGTAAGCAACTTCCAAACATCTAGAATTGACAGAGACATCTTACTTCCTGGACAGTCACCCAAAGTTCTTTTGTAATGTTGGGGCATCCATCTTCAGCCTACAGGCTCATAGTATCTGACAAACTTTTCTGTGAAGCAGGAAATTTGAAGATCTGTTCTTCCTTGTAATGGCAAAGTTAATCAGTTGCTTTTTTTCTATGTCCTGCAGAATGTCTGACAAATTCTTTCATGAAGTAGGAACCCTAAAGGACCATTTTACCTTCTTTTGGCAAGTTCCGCAGTAATTTTTCTGTATTTCCAGTTTACACAGCATACCATAAAGCAGTCCAGGCAAGAGCAATTTCTAGCCCAAATGGCTAGCAAACTCCATAAGCAGCTTGTTCGATGCCCATCATCCTCTTGAAGCTGATTGGTACCACCAGGAGATGTGTCTTATTGTCATGAAAAGTTCTAAGTTAACAAAACACTTTAAATGCCATATTCTGTATGTCTTTGAATGGTTTGAAGAATGTGAAATCTATCTTTGTATAGCTGGAAAACTTATTGAACATGACTACAAGTTTGACTATTCTAGATGACTACCTGTTAATCTATAATTTTTAATTATACATTATATTTTTAAATAAGCTACACAAACACAATACCATTAAAAAGAACAAAAATACATATACACAGTGTAGCAAATCGACCTTAAGTTTGTAACAATATACCAAAATCCATACCAATGTAAAATATTCATCTCTATATCATATCTTCTCTTCTTCCTTTTTTAGAATGATATTGACCATTTAACCATTTATAATCAACCCCTTTTAAATGAAAAACATCATTTATAAGCAATATTTGGGAATTTGGGAATAGTTTTTTTAGATTAGTTCCTGCTGATTGGGAACACTGTTAAACAGGTCTTCTGTGGGGTGTCCTTTGTGCTTAGTTCCTCTCAGTCATCAGTCCTGAAGCTGTTGTGGATGTTGGACCGCCTAGGACATCACTTCAGGGCTCTTATTTGATCATACCATATTAGCCTGGAACGAATCCATGGGTTCTCATCTTCTGTGGAAACAAAAGAAGAACCTCTTTCCAAAGCAACGTATCCTTAGACTCAAATTTTGAAGTCAAGACACCTTTAGAATATATATTTTAGAAACCCCCACAATCAAATGTCTCTCTGTAGTCAAAAACTTCAAAGAAATCACAATAGTATACATAATTCAGACTCTGTATATTTTCCATCTTTACATGGATTTTAAAATTACTTTTATTCCTTTAATCTATGTCTGTCCGTACTTTTATATTACTTTTACTATCTTTTTAAAAACTTTAAAAATTTTTTTTAACTGTTCTCTCTCCCAAGCCTATTTACATGTTTTGAACACAATTGTGTCTCGTTTAGAGGTCTTTTATGTCTGAATCTGTCCTATTGTGTATCTGAAATCCTTTTCTGACAAGGAGAATTTTAAAATGGGAAGTAGTGTGGTCACAGTGGCCCTGGATGCTGGTTCCTTCAGTATTGTGGAGGTACCTTTACAGCCAGCTCTAGGACTACCGGGTAGGAGCTGTGCTCACCACCTCAACTCTGGGAAGCACCGTGGAGTACATAAACCCTTTTTTTGTCTGAGTAAAAGCTAAATTTGCCCTGCAGTGCATTGCATGGCCTGGCAATATCTTTTGTTTATGGCATTGGGAATCTGCTATGCTTTCCTGCCTGTGCATGCCTAATTGACCTCATCTAGCTGCTTTTCCATTCAGGGGTGCTGAGCAGCAGGCATGCTCTCAGCTACTTTCCTCCTAACCCCAGTTGAGCATACAAGGACCCAAAGTGGCTGGCAGGCCATGCGTGTTTGTTCCAGTCATTCAGCTGAATTTTGTTGCAGCTTACAATAAAATAGTCCCACGCTAGCCCAGAATGGAGTATAATAATTTTTTTTTCTTACTTAGGGGTAGACTTACATAAAAAACCATGATCTGTGTAAACGGGGAACTGGAATAGAACCCAGCAGCCAAGGGAGCCATGCATGCTTTTTGTCTATATTTATAGTACATGAGACCACACCCAAAGTGGGCCAGTATCTTAAAGGTTATTAACTGAAGGAGTTCCCATAGCACCTCCCCCTTTTGTCTAAATAAGAGAGTTCCAATAGATTACTTACCAGCTCAGTTTAGATAATTAGAAAATAGACTTTATATCCTGACAAAAATAAGTTTTAGTCAAATAAGTGAACCAAATTCAAAAGTTGGATTCTTTTTTTCTGTTCCTATACTCCTGGCACTGGGGAATGAACTTGGTGCCTCATGCATGCTAGGTAAAGCTCTGCTATAAAACTATATCTCTAGATCTTTAAATAGTTTTTGAAGATTTCGATGATCTTGTTAAGTTCCTCAGACTTCCTTTGTCTTGTGATCCTCTTGCCTCAGCTACTTCACTAGTGGGATTACTGATCCGGGTTACTACGTCTGGCTGAATTCTTTAAGAGCTTAAAGCAACCCCCTATATTTATTCCTGTCAGTATATTTATGATGCTCCAAAATTGATCATTAATTTGTGTGTCTGTGTAGAGTATAAATTCTCTGAAGGTATAGTCTTACTCTTTGGTTGTACCTTCATTGGATATGTATGATATCACCACACAGTAGCTCAGTCTTCTTATTAACTAATTCTTACATCTTACGGTAACCCATAATTCCTGTCTGTGTTAGCCATGTGGCTCAGTACCTTTTCCAGCCGTCAGCTCACATGTTGCTTCTTCGGTGGTCTGGGCAGGAATGGCGGAGGGAGCTTCTGCTTCCCAGAATTCTACTTTTCTCATTGCATCACCTTTACTTCCTGTCTGGTTTTCCCGCCTATACTTCCTGCCTGGCCAATCAGCATTTATTTAAAATATGATTGACAGAATACAGACAATTCTCCCGCACCACCGGAGAGATGCTTAGTGGTTAAGAGCACCTGCTGCTTTTGCAGAGGACTTGTTTTTTGTTTCCAGCATTCACATGGTGGCTCACAACCACCTGTAACTCCAGCTCCAGGAGATCCAGCACCCTCATCTGATGTCCACAGAAACTAGGCACACTGTGATACAAAGACATATATGCAGACACTCATTTGTACTTAAAATAAAAGTAAGTAAATCTTCAGGAAAAAAATAAAATCATTGTAATATCAAGGTATGCCACGTGGTACATATTCATATGAACATGTATAAGTAATAAATATCTAAAAACAATCTAAAACATAGCAAAATATATAACATCATCTGCCATCTAATTCAGAGAGTCTGGTAAATATTCTCATATATACCCTTCTCCTTTTTTGGTACACACACACACACACACACACACACACATATCTTGGTATGCTTTATGTATATTTGAGAAAAATCCATTCTGAAAGTGAGTGATACTGTTATTTTCTTGGCAAAGGACAAAAGCAACAGAAGTTGTAATCCTGTCTTTTATACTAAGCTTTAAAATTTTGTTTCATTGCTTATGAAATCTAGAACTCTTACTATTATTAATGATAATTATTTTATATACTTAAAGGTGAATTAACCACACAAGTAATTAACCTTCATAAGTATTCAGTAATATCAAGGTATGCCACACGGTACATATTCATATGAACATGCATAAGTAATAAATATCTAAAAACAATCTAAAATATAGCAAAATATATAACATCATCTGTCATCTAATTCAACTAGTCCTAGTCCTAGTTGACCCTAGAATATAGTAAATATATTAATTTTTACCATAATATTTACTAAGTACATTTTATTTTTGTTCACAGTACCTGGTTATGGATTATTATGTTGGTGGGGATTTACTTACTCTGCTCAGCAAATTTGAAGATAGATTGCCTGAAGACATGGCTCGGTTTTACTTGGCTGAGATGGTGATAGCCATTGACTCAGTTCATCAGCTTCACTATGTGCACAGGTAAGTTAGCCAATCTGTAATTACACCTGGCTGTTATGATATTATATCTAGAAACAGTTCTGTTTCTGCCAAATTATTAATTATGGTCTTAGTTATACTTCATCTACAAATAATTTATTTTGAGATTGTTTTGAGGTTTTGTGTTTTTACTGTTACTATTTATCTGCATTACTGAACTCATGTGTCTGCTTGTATGTCCATGTACATAGATTTTATCTATATATGTCCACTTCTAGTCAGTGTTTTTGTGGAAAGCTTTGAACATATGCATGACTGAATTTCCATATAATGTTCTTCCCAAAAGGAGTATGCAAGAGTCAGTTTCCTTATAGCTGGTTCTTATACACTGATAGAATTCTAGGCCATAAATTATAGACTTGTTATATATTTTATTTTTCTCAAGAAAAGACTTGGGCTGGGGAAATAGCAAGAATGAGGCCCTGAGTTTGATTCCCATCACCATGTAAAATCAGGACTTGACAGCTTGTACCAACTAGGGTTAAGGAATAAAGATCCCTAGAAACAACTGTTGGCCAGAGAGTCTAGCCAAATTGATGAACTCAAGGTTCATTGAGACCTTATCTCAGAAAATAAGGTGCAGAGTGATTGAGGAAGACACCCTAAACTGACTTCTGACCTCATAGGCACATGTGCTCACATGTACACACTCATATATATGCACATACACAAGAAAAGACTTTAAAGAATTACACAGATACAAAAAGATTTTTTTTTTGTTTAAAAGACACGGATAGTTTAGTGTATGGTGTGATCTTATTATAAACTGACAGACAATTCATCACTTACGCTTTTTTCTATATGAGCTAGGCATGGTGGTATAAAACTGCAATTGTAGCACTTGAGAAGTAGAGGCAAGAAGATCTGGAGTTCAAGACCTGCTTTTGTTATGGAGTGTGTTAGAGGCCAGCCTGAGCTACACTGGACACTGTCTCAAACAAAACAACTAGACCTTGGTTTTTTTTCCACATTAGTTGCATTATATATGTTACACACCATTTATTATTGGCTAAAAAAGCCTCTTTAGAAAATGATTTTTATATAGGATTTTTTTGAAAGAGTAATAAACTATTGAAGAACATTTAGTGGTTTAAAACAAAGTAGAAGAAAGAGGAGTATTGAAGGGCTGCTGCTGTGATAGGGAAGAACCACTGCAGTTTTGAAAGTTAGACTTTATTCATTGATTTACTTATTTATTTATTTTGAGATAGAATCTCACAATGTATATGTAGCTAAGACTGGTCTGGATCCCAGTGCCCCTGCATCAGATTTTCAAGTGCTGGGATGCTAAGCATGTGCTACCAAAGCAGGGTCTTTATCATGATACTGCTAAATACCATGCTACAGACATTGGCATCTAATAAAGTACCTTTCATTACTGTTTCATAGCTGTCTTCAAGTTGGACATATGTTTTTCTCATTTCAAGTATCCTTTTAGATTTTATAAGTTTACTCTTGTTGGAAGCTTGTCATTATATACTTTTTTCCTAGTATTTTAACTACTCTCTTTGGTTAGATATATGATGGAAGTAGAGGAAATACGTCCTTTTTGTGAAGAGCTATTTTTAAGGTGAACTAATGATAGAATTGAATTGAGTGATAGTAAAAGCAGAACATGCAAAAACCATGTTCCTAAACATTGTGGAGATGTAGAATGAACAGTAGTTAAACGAATGACTCTGGAAGACCTGTTGGAAGAAGCCATGTCTACGTCAGAATGAAGATATTTCAAAAAATTAAAATACTTTAGCTAAGGGAAAAGGACCAAAGAAATGAAGATATATACAGAGAAAGACCACTAAAGTTGTATTACATTTTATCATTATTTATTTGGTGTGTATGTGTGTTCACGGTAGGTGGTAGTGCACCTGTATACTGATTATGAGGGTGTGAAGGTCAGAGGAATACCTTGGGTGTCATGTATTAGGTGACTTTCACCTTTTGTTTGAGACAGTCTCTCATTGGTTAAGTAGGTTAGAATAGCTGGTCTGCAAACTTCCAGGAATACTCCTGTCTCTGTCTCCTGTCTCACCATTGCTGGAGTATCAAGCACATGCCTGGACCCTAGGTTTTTTAAGTGGATTCTAGAGATTGAGTTCAAGTTCTCATGCTTACAAAGCAGGACTTTACTGACTGAGCCATCTCCTTAGGCCTGTATTTTATCATTTTACAATTTATTTATATTAAATTTATGCATATTAAAATGTGTGTGTGTGTGTGTGTGTGTGTGTGTGAGAGAGAGAGAGAGAGAGAGAGAGAGAAACAGAGAAACAGAGAAACAGTCTACACTATTGCATATGAATGGAGAACAGCAGACAGCATCTGTTCTCTCTGCCATGCAGGTCATTGGGATTGAACTCCAGGTGGTTAGGCTTGTGCCAGGAGCCTTTACCTGCTGAGTCATCTCCAGATTCTCTTTTATCATTTGAATGTTAAAGTCTTCACTTAAACACATAGGAAATATATCTATCTTTTCTTGTGCTTTTAGCAAATTGGTTGTTTTTCCCCTTGTATTTATTAACATACATTTTGGCAATCATAAAATATTTTTTTTCATTAATCTGTCAACTCAGTTTAGACTTTGGCATGGATATACTTTAGTCCTGAGCTTAAAACATATGTGCCACACTTTCTGTGGTTTACTGAATAGTCGGTCTATGTTTTAAGGGTGTACCCTTTCTTTTCAATCATCTCTTTGCCGAGACAGAGAATTTTGGAGTAGAGTTTAATGACTTAACAGCGTCATGTGGTCTGATTCATGTTGAGTAAACTTTCTGCCAAATGTTGGGTCATGGCAACGTAAGTCCTGATTTCAGATCGAAAAGCACCATTGTTTCTAATCCTGTTAACTAAAATCAACAGAGAGTGGCTGTTCAGATTGTCAGCTACAGTGCCATTTGTCAGAGACAAAGAATCCAACCAGAACAGAGGAATAAGTTGGTCTGGTTAGAATATTGTATTTGGCTATTGTACACTTTAGTTTTAGATGACCATGAGGAAAGATCAGGAATTTTGTGATATTTTCTAACATCTCATGGATAATTTATATAGATAATCATAGCATCAGTTCTAGCACTAGAATTTTTATAGCTGATACTGTGTATAGGTCAGTGACTACAATCTTACCCTGGTTCCTGTTCTTGGATTGTTTCCTAGACTGGCAGAGATAACAGTGCTGCACATTTGAGCATGTTAGGTAAATAAATGCTCCACCACTGAGGTACAGTCCTAGGATTCAGACTTACAAAGTTTCTTGAATCTTAGAAAAAAAGAGAATCGAGACTTCAGGAAAAGGACTCTTTCCCCTTCCCATTGCCCATTTATTTTTGTCCGTCTTGCTCCAGGAATTAGACAGAATGATCTTGGTACATCTTGTCAGGACAGATAGAAAATAAGGGTTCACAGACTTTTAGGGTTATATCGGAAGGATTTAGAAGCCAAATTGAAAAGAGTACCAAAGTGGAAGTACTTTGGTGGAAGTGGTGGAAGAGGATGTCAACTGCCTTGTTTCTCTTTTTATTGGGCTCCAAGCTTGGGCTTTTGCTCCCTGGGCAAAAGATTGGAAGATATTTTTCTGTGGAATTCTGAGTGAAAAATAAGTGAGTTTCGTATCCCAAGGAAACAATTAATCAGGTTAGTCAGCCATATAAAAGCATCCCATAATCCTAGTACTCTAATTCCTAAATGTAAGTGAATAAAAATCTTGGTCTTCTGTAGAGAACCTGTAAGATTTAGTTGCTAGATCTTTTTGTTCTCTGCCATTTGAGAATCCACCTGGAAAATAGTCAATGCCCTGATTGTGGATTTCCAGAGCTCTTTGTTTTACGTTCTTTTAAAGTCCCATTTCCTTTCATAAAATCTCCCTGTTTTGCTCAGCTTCTTTGGTACACCCATTCTCTTTTGGGGAATAAAGTGCTGCCTGATTCAAGAATTAAAAAATAAATCAATTATGATCTTAAGAAAAGAGATTAAATCTAAGGGATGTGTATGTAACTCAGTGATAAAGCAAAGGACCCAAGTATAATCCCTAGCAGTAAAAATAAGATGATAAGTTTATGCCAAAGTAAATAATGGAAGAAAAGAAGCTGGAGGGAAAGAATAACTAAAGGAAGAGAAAATCTGTCCTTCCCTGAATAACTGTGAACAACCATCTGAGAGATGGGATATGTGTGACTCAACGAAACACATTGTGTTGTAGGAAAGGGATCTTCATGCAACAAAACTTTACACAGTAAAATTATGATGATATATTTAAAGAAAAGTTATCAGAAGTGTTAGAAAATAGAGTTGAAATAGAAAACCCCAAATACCTGGGCTCTTAGAGAAGTTGGCAGGGTTATGGGATGGTAGGGTAAGACATCTAGTAGAAGTTCCAGGATCAGATGAATAACATTTTTTATTATTGAATAACTTTTTTTTTTTTTACTGAAAATCCTAGTTCCTAGTTCCTAGTACCTAGTACCTACTGAAAATATCTAGTACCAACTGAAAACACCTAGTACCGCCTGAAGGACATGAAGTTCATACTTAAAGGGAACACTAAATACTCATCCCGTGATAGAAAGTAGACCCACTTCACTGCCCCTGAAAATCCCTGGGAGAGTACGGGTGACTGAGGCAAGGTTGTATAAACAAGACACTGTTAACCAGTCGGTAGTTGGTAAAGCATAGATTATGAGTTTTCGTCTTTTGTGCCTAGTGGTTAGAGTTTAATATGTGTCCCTGAGGATTTCCTCTTCTAGACTGTTTCAAGTTTTCAAGGGATTAGGAGGTCACTGCAACATGACATCCCTTTTGTCAAATCATATTTAGGAACACTTGATGTGAATTTGTTATTTAGACCATGAATTGTGTATATCACATAGGGTTATATCAATCATTACTACTTTGAATATTTATCAAACTATATTTCCTGGTAATTAAGTCTGATCTCCCTTTCCTTTCTCCCATTCATGCTGTCTCCTTCCCTTCTTCTCCCCACT